AATTAAAGCTTTATAAAGTGTTTAGAAACATTAATAATCTATTTATAAGGCAATAATAAATTATTTATAAAGTGATGTTTAGGAGGTGGTGGWACATTTCATTTTATTTTGAATCCGTGCGAATTATAGACTTTATGGTTAATTTTTAATGTTTAAATTAAAAAAACATGCTCTAACACTCGTGTGATTTTTAGAGATTTTCTTTTATTTTGGCTCGTGTTCAGACAAAGATCACCTCCTCGATGACCTGCAGATTATTTCCAACCTTGCAGTCAGCACCCTGATCAATCACAGCTCGACAAACGAGCGTTCGAGTCCTCGCTGGGAACGTGATCTTAGCAGAAACGCGTCCTCGCCGTTCTCCCTGTCCTTTTGAGGACGCCGGGGCCTGGCCTGGCCTCGGCGCTGACATCCTTTAAAGGCCTCTTTTGTTGTCACATCCTACGTGATCAGAGATGTTGTTCAGCATGGTGTTTGAGGGAGTTTAATCGTCCTGACGGGCCGGCTGTTCCTGCAGTCCTCAGCTGCTTTATGAGCCCACGTTTGCAAAATATAAACTGAACGACTCTTGGCTGGCTTCATTAATCCGCCCCCGAAATGCAACTGGAAATAATTTGATTTATAATCCACATAATCACTCCAGATGTGATGGTTATGGGAGCGGAACAATAAAAATATTATATATATAAAGAAAATGCCAAAATTGTGTAAAAAAAGGCTAAAAGCTAATTTTCAGTTTTATTTATTCTGCTCTAAATATCCCATCATCTGCATGGAAAAAGTTGCAATCACACATCGAGTTCAGCACGCCTCTTCAGCTTTTCTTCTCGTTTTTTTTAAATCACTCTCAGCTTCCAAACTCTCCTGCAACGTTAGATGAGCTGCATTCTCACCACAGTTACACCAATCACACTGATTATGGGGGCTAACTACGCTGCTGACTCAGTCAGCTGTCTAAATATCAGACCACTGCCTTCTGCATGAGATAGAGCCCCGGTTAGGTTTCAGCATCTGGACCAGGAGCTCGAAAGGAAACCTGAATTTAGCTCCAGAAGTAAAAACAAAACCTGAGAGCTCATTTCCATAAAGGTTTCTGCTCTGTTTTAACCCCCCAAACATGACTCTGCTTCTAACGCCGACTTGTGCCTGTTTCCTGAAAGCGAGGCTGCAGGGTGAGCTAATGAGATGAGTCAGGGGGTTTTGGTTTCAGGGTAACCTGCTCCTTTTTTTTTTTTTTTTTGTGAGCATGCCCGGGAGGTTTAGGTCTCGTAAGGGCAGGGTGTCTTTGCTGAGCTGTGGGAGGGGTCGTCCTTTAAAAAGTTTCCCGAGTGGAACAATAAAAGGTGCTTATTTMGTCAAGGCATTGTTGTAAAAACAAGCAGAAGTGCTGCAGGCCTCAGTGACACAGATTTAGTTGAACTCAGGGAAAGTGGTTTTAGATTTGTGTTGTTTATTCTGTCTGCCAATCAAATAAATGTAAGAAATCCCTTTCAAACAAATAACGCTGGTTAAAAAAACAGTAGTTTATTGGTTTTAGCATCCATTTGCACTTTTTTTCTCCCCATGAGGGTCCCTTTTGAACTCTGCCAAGTTCATTTGAGAACCCTTAAACTTCGTGCCTTYTCTGGGTGTGTGGATTTCTCTCATATTATTCCTCCCTTTTTGTGGAAAGATGAAAGTTACAGCCGGGACCTAATTGCTGCGGTGCAGCGGCTGCGCCATAAAAGCCCCGCCGCTCGTTTTAACTCCAGGCCCGTTGGTCTGAAGCGGCCGGCCTTTATTTCTTTTTTACGTGACGTCTGCGTGAAGCGAGAGGGTCAGCCGGTCTGAGGACGAGCTTCGGGCGGACGCTTGTCATTCAGAGTGTGAAATTACAGGGAGGGAAAGACGGGGGGGTCAAAGGGCAGCTGGACGCGGGCTTCATGTCGAGAAATGTTAGGTTTTATTTCGTTAAATTTATGGAGGAATTCTTGTAGTTTATGTTTCTGTCTGTTTCTGGCTCTGAATTTGTGCCAGTGCTGCACAAATGTAGCTTTATCTTTTTCCTTCGACTGTATTTTGGCCGTTCTGGAAAACCTAAACGTGATGAAACGACAGAAGTGACAGGGCTCCACGAGAGGAGAAACTTTAGTCGTGGCTTCACACTTTGTACCTTTAGCAAGCGTGGAGGAGAGCCGCAGGACTGTTTACAGTTTTCCTTGACGCAGGGTGATCACATCCTGCAGGAGATGAGTTTGCGTGCAGCTGTGGCCGTCCTCAGGTCCATCTGAAGTGTGTCCAGCAAGAAAACCACAAAAAGCTGCTTAGAAAAGGAACAATTTGAAAGGCAAATAGAACACGAGTGTTTTCTTTGGAAAGTTTGATTTTGGAAATACAAATAATAAAAAAGCAAGATTTAATGACAGAAGGCTGTAAAGTTTTTTTTAAGCAGGAGTTTAATCTGTATGTCAGTAAGACTCACAGATTCTCTGCTGCCTGAACATGACGGTGGAGATAATGTTTTTATTAAAGTCTGAATGTTTGAACAAAATGTGTCATAAATCATGAAAACAATCAGTGGATACTGAGACAACTGATCACTTTAGCCTGCACAAAAACAATTTAACTAACCCTTAATTAGTACTTGATGCAGTTCTGCTCTGCTCAGCTGCCCAGTTCACCTCCGTTTGTTTGCACCCCAATTTATACAGCGTCCACCCCACCCTGCTCCGGTCCAGTACCCCACCCTGCTCCGGTCCAGTGCGAAGCACGGAGGTCTGAGAAGCGTGTGAAGGAAATGCGAAATTGTGTAATAAATCCAGTGATAAATGTGGATTCCTGAGAAAAATAATTTATTCTGTGGAAGACGGACTCCAAACAGCTAAAACTGCATCGCTGTCGTCTTTCTGAAACGTCTGATTTCAAAATAAATTCATGTGTTCATATGCTGCACGATATGTTGCCGTCTGCTTCCTAAACAGTCAATATATTCTGACAGCATMTGTGTAGAAATATATCCACATATTTATTAATYTAGCTGGGATTTCTGCAAAAATTAGTCTGCCTTTGATGAATRATTTTGAAACTACGGATGTTGTGCTTGTTCCTTTTCCTGTTGGTGCGACGTGATCTTTATAGTTTGACTCCAGAGCAGCTCTGGTGTCCGGCAAAAACAGGATCAAATCTAATTTTGGCAGAGCCAGTGTGAATACTCTCATTGATTATAATGTTTGTGTATTTACTGCAGAGGTCGGATCAGACCAGACCGGTGTAAATGGTAAACGGTTAATGGACTGTACTTWTATAGCACCTTTRTATCCATCCAGGACACTCAAAGCGCTTCACACTACAGGCATTCACCCATTCACGCACACATTCACACACTGATGATGGCAAACTACAATTGTAGCCACAGCTGCC